CTTTCTTTCACCATTTCATTTCAGTTCATATGTGCTCTTCCAAGATACAGCATTTTATTATCTTTTTAGTTTGCATTCAGTTAAAACTGATGTAAGTAATCAGTATAGTGGGAAAAAAAATATGGCTTCTTATTTAACACCTTATAAACTACATGTATTTCATCAGGTTGGCTTGGGTATTCAAAAAGTTCTGAGGTTTGGCAAGTTAGATGTGGGAGGAGTCGGCTCCGGCACCTACAAGTTCGCTTCACAAAGGAGCAAAGAGGATCGCTACACTTTCAGCATACACAGTGTCACCTGCAAACGTTATGGGTAGGATGGAAATTAGACTTTTCTCATTGAGTTCGGACAGGCCATGGTTATAGAAATAATTGTCTAATTTTGTCTTGGTGTCTAGATTTATATTATCAACCACACCTCCCTTAAGCTTTAAATTCAAAAATCAGTTGGACATCCTGCCAAGTCACTACAACTACTCCACAAAGAATGACTACGAAGAGTTCATACAGACCTATGGCACACACTATTTCAGACTGGTGAGAACTTTGGCACACACACACATTGTGAATTAGTTACAGACATTAATCTACAGGGAAGCATTTCAAAGAACTTTATACCCGTTTTAGGTTCATCTTGGAGGGCGACTGAGACGAATGACATCTTCACGAAGCTGCTTGTCCTCCCTGAATGGATTAACCTCAAGTGAGGTAACAAAATGCACAAAACAACAGATTTTTTACACAACCATATGAGATACTTCCATGATTCTAATGCCCAGTAAGTAAGCTGAAACGGTCTGATACTGCTTACCGGTAAAAGATTCTGAGTTGGTATGCAGTACCAGGAGAACAGCACAATAAGGCCGTCAGTCAGAACGGCTGCAGTGTTAGCTAGCAATAGGTAGTTTGAAACACAAGTTAATCTGTTTATAAATAGGTTTTTTTCTCTCATTTCTTATTGTTTCTGAACTGTTTGTGCTGTGTGATGGAGCCTGTCACCCTCCAGCCGTGTCTCTCTCTCTCCTCCACCGCCTTCCAGGCGCTCGTAGGTTTCTCAGCATCCTATAACGTCTGTCTGCTTATTACAAAATGTCCCAATTAAACGAAATGGTGATTATCTACACTGAACAAAATTATAAACACCCCATGTCAAATTTAAGAGTTTATGAACATGTGGGTTATGCAATATATAGAGAAACTCTAAATATATTTTCAGTAATTGCTGATCTTCATATCGGCATTGATAACATAGTGGCATGGCCATTTGTAGCGGATTGACAGTGCTTTGAACATAATAGGGGTCAGGTTGAGGAATTTGATTTTGTCCAAGTTGGCTTCACGTAAGTGGTTACAGACAGTCTAAGGTGTGATGCGTCTGTTGTGCAGACCGAAGTCTCATCAGCTGTTTGTGTCGCTGGTCTTAGCCGATCCCGCAGATGAACAAGCTGGATGTGGCAATCTTGTGGTGGAGTGGTCAGGTGGCCAACGAGGATGAGGTC